TCCGTTGTGGAGAGAGGCTGTAAATAGTGAAATTGAATCAATACTATAAAATCATAGTTGGAAACTGGTGGATCTTCCACCAGAGTGTAAACCTCTTGGATATAAGTGGATATTCAAGAGAAAAATGAAAGCAGATGGTTCAATATATAAATACAAACTAAGCTTGTTGTTAAGGGATACAGGCAGAATGAAGGCCTTGATTATTTTGACACCTATTCACCAGTGACAAGAATAATATATATTCGCATGTTGATTGCGATTGCAGCTTTGTATAATTTGGAAATACAACAAATGGATGTTAAAACAGTTCTTTTGAATGGCAAGTTAGATGAAGAAATCTATATGGAACAACTAGAAGGGTTTCAAGTTCCCGGCTAAGAGAAAAAGGTTTTATAAACTTGTCAAATCCCTTTATGGATTAAAACGAGCTCCGAAACAATGGCATGAAAAATTTGATCTCGCCATACTTTTGGATGGTTTTAAGATAAATGAATGTGACAAATGCGTCTATGTTAAAACCACAGACAAATGCTATACCATAGTTTGTCTTTATGTGGATGATATGCTCATTATTGGAAGCAATAATGACATGATTAAATCCACAAAGAAAATATTGAACAAAAAGTTTGACATGAAAGATCTAGGAATAGCAGATGTAATTCTAGGAATAAAAATTACTAGAACATCTGAAGGATATGCTTTATCTCAGTCGCACTATGTTGAGAAGATTCTGGAGAAATTTGGAAAGCATGACTACCGTCCTGCTAAAACACCTATTGACATTAGTTTTCATTTGTCAAAAAATACAGGTGCATGCATATCACAATTAGAATACTCAGATAATCGGAAGCTTGATGTACTTAATGAATTGTACAAGGCCAGATATAGCCTATGCTGTAAGCAAATTGAGTAGGTACACAAGTAATACAGGGTCCGATACTTAGGTATCTAAGACATAGCCGGAATTATGACTTATATTATACCAAATATCCAGCAGTACTCGAGAGGTACAGCGATGCAAATTGGATATCGAATACTAAAGACTCAAAAAGTCCATTAGTGGATACGTCTTTACCCTGGCAGGTGCTGTAGTTTTTGGAAATCTTCCAAGCAGACATGCATAGCTAGGTCGACAATGGAATATGAGTTTATTGCATTAGATAAAACAAGAGAAGAAGCAAAATCGCATCATAATTTCTTAGAAGACATTTCAATGTGACCTAAACCTGTGCCAGCTATATATATTCACTGTGATAGTGAAGCAGTAATAGGACGAACACATAATCATATGTATAACGGTAAGTCTCGATACATTTGTCGAAGAAATAATACCGTTAGGCATTTGCTCTCACATGGAATAAGTCAAAGGAGAATATTGTGGATCCATTGACTAAAAGGCTAGCCAGAGAGCAAGTGTACTATTTATTGAGGGAAATGAGATTAAAGCCTATTACTTAAAAGTCGTCATAATGGCAACCCAACCTAGTTGACTGGAGATCCCAAGATCTAGGTTCAAATGGACAACCGAATTATGGATGACTTTACGTATCACTAAGGAGGTTTTCTCCTATCCATTTCTATGATAAAAAGAGTGATACCTGCAGCGTTAGTACGATAAGTTTTGCTTTTAATGATTCTTATAGCTTGGGCATCCAAGTGGGGTATGGCAGGATACTCTTAATAAGAAATTACCTCTATGAGTCTGAACTGGGCCGATTCTGTGAGAATTGAGAAGGCTAAATTTTCTTGAGCACTCATCAATTATCAGGCGTTGTTTAGGGCTAAAATGAATACAACCGTAAGAACCAAACTGTGTCTGCGGATATACTATGTGTAGTCTATTGTCCTAAGGAGGTTTTCTCCTATCCATTTCTATGATAAAAAGAGTGATACCTGCAGCGTTAGTAAGATAAGTTTTGCTTTTAATGATTCTTATAGCTTAGGCATCCAAGTGGGGTATGGCAGGATACTCCTAATAAGAAATTACCTCTATGAGTCTGAACTGGGCCGATTCTGTGAGAATTGAGAAGGCTAAATTTTCTTGAGCACTCATCAATTATCAGGCGTTGTTTAGGGCCAAAATGAATACAACCGTAAGAACCAAACTGTGTCTGCGGATATACTATGTGTAGTCTATTGTCTTGACTTACACAAATAACTGAACAGTTTAAGGCATCGCGTCCACTGGTTAGCCAGTAAGTCCAATAGGCTTTCATTAGAGGAGGTTCAAAGCCAAAAGTTATCTAGCTCGATGTGGTGTATCTTCTTAATGTACTCTTTCTTTGTCTGCATCTTGTTGCATGTCCGTTAACGTGAATTCTATTCATATGGGGGATTGTTGGAAAATAGCTTTGAAAGCTTTGGAAAAATCTTATTTTTTGCTAACTTTGAGCATTAATTAAGGTGGGACCCAAGCATTATTTTTAACGTTTTTCATTAGGTTCATGTTTAATGCCACGTACTAAATAAATTCGTGTATTTGGTTGCTCAAAACCATTTCTGGATAAATGAGAATTCAACACGTATTTTCGGGTTCGTGGCAATGGCTTTAGGTGGGTTTCTTACACATTTGTTAAATGTGCTTGCCTTTTATTGGAAAGGCTTGAGATTTTGAATGAGTTTATATACTCTAACTTGGGATACTTGTAATGGACCCTAAGCGGTGCCTAAGTTTGTGGAAGGGTGAGGTTATGGGTAAAGTGGGCTAGACCTATTGGACCAAAAAAAAAAATCGCACTCACCGTCCGTCCGGGCGAGCTGGGCTGCGCTTTGCTTGTGTGCGGGTGCGTGGTGTGAAGTTGGGTTAGGCTTATCCGGCTAAATACGTATCTTTTTGGGCCAAAAACATTTGTAAATTATTTATTTATTTTGGTTTCAAAATTCAAAATAAATTGGTCCAAATTTTTTCCTTCACCCAAACAGATCCTAACCTGTCCGAATAGGTTCAAAAGTTTCAAACAAGCTTTCTACCTATTGAGTTCCACCTGATTATGTTTTCTATCTGTTGAAATTCAAACCATATCTGTTCAATCTATCCGAACAGATTTCCATATGTTTGGTACCTGTTTGAATAGCTACCAATTTTCCAATGTATACCCTGTCATTCCAGTATTCATTTGCATTGGAAAAATTCCAAACTTCTTCCATTTCTTCTTCAGTTCATCATCCTGCACTACAGCATATGTTTTTGCATTTATTTTTTGGAAAAGAAAGATAAAGAGTTGCAACATAATTTGGTTCGCCAGACTTGTTTTTGTAGTGCTGCAAATCCAAGTGTTAGTCGTTGCATCTTGAGAAGTATACGCTGGTTAAAACTCGAAGCACCGAAGCGAGGGCGAAATCTACTTTAAGGAGATTGTGTCCAATACAAGGCTCGACTTTAATTTCTGTAAGCGTTTAATTCAAAATCTAATTAATATAATTATTTTTTGAATTATTTTATTTTGTTGTTTATTTAATTTATACATTTAATTTACACACACATCACTGTGGATCTAACAGTATGAAATTTATTATGTCCGTACAATTTGTTTCTATTGAATTAAGCCTTAATTGAAGATGAATTTGGGAAGCAATTGGGTAAGAGAGAGAAAAGAAAATGTGAAAAATGAATAACGGTTTGGATAAGCAGAAAGAAAGACGGAAATGACCGTACTAAATAAGTGTACTTTTTAATTTTTTGTGAAATATGTTGGGTTTGAAGTGATGTGGTAGAGAGGTGATGTGACTTAAATAAGATGATGTGACTTAAATAGGATAGTGACTTTTTGATTTTTTTTAAAGATGCCAAACTTAACCTAAAAAAGAGAGAAAGAGTTACATATTGTTACATAGTAGTAGATTTGAATGATGGTAAATTGGATATTTTAGCAATTTTTATTTAATTTTACTAACATTGACATTATCGATTTGGTCAACAAAATCAACTAACAATTGAGTTTATCTGTTAAGCAAAATTTTAAAAATAGGGAAAGTCAATAATATTTTAGAGAATAAGAGGGGAAGAGTGTAATTTAAAAAATATTAACAGAGTTTGCCTAGTATTATTTGTTTATAGTTAAGATTAGGGGTTCATTTGGCAATGGCTTTTTTAGTTGGTTTTTTAACTTTTTTGACTTTTTTAGCCTGGACTTTTTTGTTTGTTTGGTTTTTTTGACCTTTTATTTATATATGAGTCAGTTTGGTAATTTTGTATCCCAACTCAAGTGTTTTGACATTTTATAATTTTGTAGCCTTTTTTTTTGTGTGTCTATATGTGATTATTTAGTCCCACAAAAAATGCCAAATCGGGGATAAAACTATTGATTTGGAGTATCTAATTTCATTTGTTCTCTTAGCTTTTGTCTCGTTAATATCGGCTAAGTATAGTGCTTTTGTAGTTAGTGTTGTTTTATCTTATTTTACTTTCTTTGAATAGATAGAGTTAATTTCAAAATAAATTTATTTGCGAAATAGCGTAAAATAATAAAGATAAATGTTAACTTGAGCATTGTTTAAGTTTGAAAAAGTCTTGTAAAAATATTTAAAATGTATTAAATTTAACAAAAAAAACTTGTACATTATAAATTTTTTGTCTTTTGCTTGTGACCTATGGACACTTGAGACCCAATAGTAAATAATATATTAAAAAAAAGTACATTGATCCCTCTCACAAAAAAAATTATTAGTTAATTCTGGGTACCATGTAATCATACTTTAAATTAATCACGAGCCTTCATACTTCTTTATATTATCCGACTTATCTACCACAAAATCATAAGTGACACCTCGAACCAATGAGGACCAACGAATCACCAAGGATCCTCTAGAGTGAAATTTTCCTAAAATTTCTTAGAGTGCTATATTGTGTGGTTGAGATTTACTGGCAAGTCACATCAGAAAAATTGATGTGACTTGCCAATAAATCTCAACTACACAATGTAACACTTTAAGAAACTTTAAGAAAAAATCACTCTAGAGGATCCTTGCTCCCAACGAATAACTTCTCCCTCACAAACAATTCAAACAAACTTGGCCGAAAGGACGGCATACATTACTACCCCAGCAGAAACCTGCAACTTCATAACGTCTCTCTCTCTCTCTCTCTCTTATATATAGAAATATAAAAGCTGTACGTATGGATATATGGTAGTTATATACGAGCTGCGTATTTATAAATCCAGCAAATCCTTCTAAGTTGAGATCTTGAGGGAGGAAGGGGCATACCCTTTTGCGTCATAAAAGCTGCTCCATAATTCACGTGCCATCTTCTCAACAGGATTCAATACTACACAGAAAATTCTTTGCCAGTCATCACTTTTTCCTAGTATTTGATTTATTTATTTATGTAGAATGAAAATGTTAAGAGGAGTGGATAAAGCCCTGGCTTTTCATTGAGAAAATCTTAATTATTATTGTTTTTTGGAGGCTGAGAGATGGGTGGGCTGTGGTGGTGGTTTTGTGGGTTGTTGGTGGTGGTGGGTGTGAATGGGTACCCAAAGGAGGATCTGGTGGTGGGTTTGCCTGGACAACCAAAGGTTGGGTTCAGGCAGTATGCAGGGTATGTTGATGTGGATGTCAAGGCTGGAAGGAGTTTGTTTTACTACTTTGTTGAAGCAGAGGAGGACTCTCACTCTCACTCTCACTCTCACTCTCACTCTTACCATCCTCATCATGATCATCATAAGCTTAAGTCCCTCACTCTCTGGCTCAATGGAGGTTGGTTTTTCTTTCCACTTTAATTTCTTCCTGCTTTAGCCCAATCAATGTAATTTTCATGTTCCCCAAGTGGGTTCTTCTGACTTCAATTTATAGGGGGACTGTTTTGTCTAGTTTTAGCTCCTGTTATTGTGGTTAACTTATGGGTCTTGCCTTTGCATTGATCCTCTCCTTTTGCTTTCTATCTTGAATATTCAGTTACTCTTCTTTTGCTGATTTTCTCAAGAATTATTGAACTGTTGCTTTTTTAGACTCCTGTGATGACTATAGTACTAGCCAAATTGTTGTTATCTTCACTGCACCCTACCCCCTTCTCTCTCCTCTTCAAGTGACCTTCATTTATATATAATTTAAGATTATTTTCAATTTTTATTTGGATACTGCAGTAATAATCATGAAAAAATGAATGGATGGTGGTAAGTTTTTCCTTTTCTTTTTTAAGCTATAATAACGTCATCCTTTGAACAGCATTTTATCAAAATCCAATGTCAACGGAAATGAAAGGTCCAAAACAATCTTATGCAGTTTTGTCATGTTGAAAATGGAGGATATTATTAATAAAACAGTTCCAAATTTAAGGATTTTGTGTGTGTGTATGTACTTGTTTTTCAGGACCAGGTTGCTCCTCCATGGGTGGGGGTGCCTTTACAGAGTTGGGACCTTTCTTTCCAAGGGGTGATGGAAGAGGCCTCCGAAGAAATTCCATGTCATGGAATAAAGGTATAATTAATTAATACAATAGAATTAATGTTGTTTGGACTTGGTTATGCCCTCCACTGATTATGGTTATTTCAAATTATTGAATAAGTTCCATTTTTTTTATAATCTTTTGCAGCATCAAATCTCCTATTTATAGAGTCTCCAGCTGGAGTAGGATGGTCATACTCCAATACAACTTCAGATTATGTCACTGGTGATGCCAGAACAGGTAATAGATAATCCCAAATCTTAAATTGACTTTCTTTTTAGTCAGTGGCGGAACCAGGATTTTATACTAAAGAAGGCAATCGATGGTTGAGGAAGTGAAATTCATCGGATCATGTTTATTAAGATAAATTGCAAGGATATCATTAAAAGTGAATTTTCTGAATAAATGATATCTTTATTTCATAGAAAATGTGACACTTTGAATGTCTACAATGAAAAGATCAAAGAAAGAGGTCTATGACAACAATTTATTTCCTATAATAGCCTATCTAATGGTTGGTACTCGGTAACCCTCATTGAAAATTTGTAATTTCATATCTATTCATTTTAGAAAATTATCTAACTTCAACTACCAAGAATAACTCATAGGTTTTTCAATCATGATAAGGAAATTTTAACAGCAACCATTATTTGCTTAACAAAAGCTATAGAAAAAGAGAGTTTAGAAAAATGATTCTAACCATGAATACAAATACTTCTTACCCCCAAAAATCCATAAATTTGTATTCTTAAAGCACAGAAAATTAACAAACAAACAAAAATTTACCTGAAATAACTTTTACAAGTTTTTTGAGTACATTTATGATGATGATTTTGATCCTCGAGGGCTAAAGTTTTGTTTTTACAAGTAATTTTTGGGAGAGTTTTCCACATTTCAGTTTATATCCTTCCTGGGAAATCACCCAATGGTGTTGTTAATGTACACTAAACCTAACCCACTAACCTAACCCACTACATCCACCCCACTAAACCTAACACACTTACCATCTCCACTACCACCCACCACCTCCACTACCATCCACTACCACCACTCACTTACCTGTGTTCTCTATTCTTTTCATTAATTTTCGCAATGGCTAGTCATACACCCCCATAAACCCTTAATTTATCTTATTTTCACACATAATATTTAGTTACATGGTATCAGAGCAAGGTTAACAACTTCATTATTCCGCTTCACCGGCGGGCGGCAACCTCGCCTTGGCCGTCCGCCGGACAAACTCAAGTTTCCCTAATTTCTTCTTCAATACCAACACTTCACCACCACAGCACCAGATTCGATCACAACCGTTGGATCCCACTTGTCCTCTCATCAATCCAAACCCTTCTCTGGGCTTCGCAGACCCAAACTTGGGTATAAGCTCTATCACCTTCTCTCTCATCTTCCGGTTCACCCGGCAAGAACTACTCGTACTGGTCGTACTCGAGCATGCAATCGAACACAGACCTCCTCGTGTAGCTGTCTCCTCTCAGCTGCAAACAGACGTCCGAACCAAGAAACGTTTCCAGGCTCGGCATCCGGCCCACGGCGCATCAGAACCCTTGGATCTCCTCCAAAACCGTTGCTTCTGGACCCAACGTTCTACGCTTGTAATTCAAAAGCCGATTGTAAAACAGCATCTCCGAGGCGAACTGGTTGGTCCAGACCATCGCCGGAGCAAGATTTTCCGAGACAATTCCGGACCATCTTTGCACCACCCTTCTCTAGACCCTCGGCTTACCTTTATTTGTGCTGCACCTCCCCTCAAACCAATATCATTGCACTTCCCCCTACTTTATTCCACCGACTCTCATATTTTATTACTTTATCCACATCCACACACGACACCCAATCTCTCTCTCTCTTTCTTTTGCCTGTTTTGGTAATTTTGTGTGTTGGTGTTGGTGGTGGTGGGTGTGAATGGGTACCCAAAGGAGGATCTGGTGGTGGGTTTGCCTGGACAACCAAAGGTTGGGTTCAGGCAGTATGAAGGGCATGCTGTGTGGATGTCAAGGCTGGAAGGAGTTTGTTTTACTACTTTGTTGAAGCAGATGAGAAGGACTCTCTCTCACTCGCTCTCATGCTCACCAGCCTCATCATGATCGTCATAAGCTTAAGCCCCTCACTCTCTGGTTCAATGGAGGTTGGTTTTTCTTTCCACTTTAATTTCTTCCTCATTTAGCCCAATCAATGTAATGTTCATGTTCCCTAAGGTTCTTCTGACTTGAATTTATAGGGGGATTGTTTTGTCTAGTTTTAGCGCCTGTTATTGTGGTTAACTTATGGGTCTTGCCTTTGCATTGATCCTCTCCTTTTGCTTTCTATCTTGAATATTCAGTTACTCTTCTTTTGCTAATTTTCTCAAGAATTATTGAACTGTTGCTTTTTTAGACTCCTGTGATGACTATAGTACTAGCCAAATTGTTGTTATCTTCACTGCACCCTACCCCCTTCTCTCTCCTCTTCAAGTGACCTTCATTTATATATAATTTAAGATTATTTTCAATTTTTATTTGGATACTGCAGTAATAATCATGAAAAAATGAATGGATGGTGGTAAGTTTTTCCTTTTCTTTTTTAAGCTATAATAACGTCATCCTTTGAACAGCATTTTATCAAAATCCAATGTCAACGGAAATGAAAGGTCCAAAACAATCTTATGCAGTTTTGTCATGTTGAAAATGGAGGATATTATTAATAAAACAGTTCCAAATTTAAGGATTTTGTGTGTGTGTATGTACTTGTTTTTCAGGACCAGGTTGCTCCTCAATGGGTGGGGGTGCCTTTACAGAGTTGGGACCTTTCTTTCCAAGGGGTGATGGAAGAGGCCTCCGAAGAAATTCCATGTCATGGAATAAAGGTATAATTAATTAATACAATAGAATTAATGTTGTTTGGACTTGGTTATGCCCTCCACTGATTATGGTTATTTCAAATTATTGAATAAGTTCCATTTTTTTTATAATCTTTTGCAGCATCAAATCTCCTATTTATAGAGTCTCCAGCTGGAGTAGGATGGTCATACTCCAATACAACTTCAGATTATGTCACTGGTGATGCCAGAACAGGTAATAGATAATCCCAAATCTTAAATTGACTTTCTTTTTAGTCAGTGGCGGAACCAGGATTTTATACTAAAGAAGGCAATCGATGGTTGAGGAAGTGAAATTCATCGGATCATGTTTATTAAGATAAATTGCAAGGATATCATTAAAAGTGAATTTTCTGAATAAATGATATCTTTATTTCATAGAAAATGTGACACTTTGAATGTCTACAATGAAAAGATCAAAGAAAGAGGTCTATGACAACAATTTATTTCCTATAATAGCCTATCTAATGGTTGGTACTCGGTAACCCTCATTGAAAATTTGTAATTTCATATCTATTCATTTTAGAAAATTATCTAACTTCAACTACCAAGAATAACTCATAGGTTTTTCAATCATGATAAGGAAATTTTTACAGCAACCATTATTTGCTTAACAAAAGCTATAGAAAAAGAGAGTTTAGAAAAATGATTCTAACCATGAATACAAATGCTACTTACTTCCAAAAATCCATAAATTTGTATTCTTAAAGCACAGAAAATTAACAAACAAACAAAAATTTACCTGAAATAACTTTTACAAGTTTTTTGAGTACATTTATGATGATGATTTTGATCCCTCGAGGGCTAAAGTTTTGTTTTTACAAGTAATTTTTGGGAGAGTTCTCCACATTTCAGTTTATATCCTTCCTGGGAAATCACCCAATGGTGTTACTAACATTAACATTTGTGCTAACATATTGTACCAAATCCCACAAACCAGTCTTTCACGCCCATCTCTCACATTCAGTTGTTTCACATTTCTAAAGCATGAGATTTTCTCGTGCTTTAATGGTAAGTTTCTTAGGTTATATAGACTGTTGAAATGAAATGCCTAATTAATATGCAAAATTTTGAGCATGTGATATAGCATAAAGCTGTATGCTATGTGATTGAAGCTCAACCTCTTGTTTTTGGCAGCCAGGGATATGCTTATTTTCATGCTGAAATGGTATGAGAAGTTTCCAGAATTCAAATCCAGAGATTTGTTTCTTACAGGAGAAAGCTATGCAGGTAATAAAATAGAATATACACAGTGACTCATTTAGGCTGCTTTGATGTTTGACATATGTAAAATTTGTAAATCCTGGAGATTGATATTCTCAACAACTGAAATATCATCAATGCAACACATGTGGAAATGGTGTCCATTAGGAAACACTTTGAAAATTGTGTTCTGAATTTTTTTTTTAAATTGTTTTCGTGCAAAAATGAAAAAGATAAGAAAACAATGGGTGTTTATGAACTATTCATGGTTTTTATTTCCAAAAAGCGAAACGACACCAAATAGGGTAGATTCCATCAAGCACTTAGAAAAGTAAACAAAAATAAATCGAGCCAATTGTAGTCAACTCATAGTTCCTCTGTTTACTTTTTCCTACATTTTTCCTCTTCAGTATTATCTGTGTTCATACTGTGAATGTGTCTACATGTAGGGCATTACATACCACAGTTAACTATAGCTCTTCTGGACCATAATGCGCATTCCAGTGGTTTTAAGTTCAACATCAAAGGAGTCGCTGTAAGAACACTTGAAAAACAGTCATTGTTCTATGTTTTTATGATTTTCCCCAATATCTAGTGTTTGCTCAGTGCTTACATTTTTTTAATTTTATGTTTCACATTATTTTGATTAGATTGGGAATCCACTTCTCAGACTTGACCGTGATGCTCCAGCAATCTATGAATTCTTTTGGTCACATGGAATGATATCTGATGAAGTCGGCCTTACCATCATGAACGAATGCGATTTTGAAGATTATACCTTTGCTCCTCCACACAATGTCACGCTTTCATGTAACAATGCCATAACCGAAGCAAACAGCATTGTTGGGGGTTACATAAACAACTATGATGTGATCCTCGATGTTTGTTACCCATCCATAGTAGAACAAGAGCTGCGATTGCGCAAAATCGTAATGTTTTTACGTATTATTATTTTTTTATATTCACCATTTTGTTTTATCCTATCTTTATCAAATTAATCCTCATGATGAAAATTTATGATTGATTGCAGGCTACTAAGATTAGTGTTGGGGTTGATGTGTGCATGGTCTACGAAAGGCGCTTCTACTTCAACCTTCCTGAGGTTCAGAAGGCTCTTCATGCAAATAGGACTAACTTGCCATATAGCTGGTCTATGTGCAGTACGTAAGTAATTCTTTGTAACAAAGATTTTTTTTCGTTTAGTTGTGTTTTTGTTTTCCATTTTCTGTTTTCATTTTTCAGAGAACACAGAAAACTTATTTAACGAACTGAAGAGCCTCCCAAGCCCAAAGCCTTTGATGAGTTAGACAATCCCCCAAAGCCCCCAATTTGGAAAGACCCAAAATCTTTATAGCCTTAATGACATATATACACTTATATTTGACAAAAAGAGCCCCTTAAATAAAGTTCTGAATCTGAATATGAAATCACCCAAAAATTATTTACTCTAGTAGGGGTCAAATTTTTTTTCTTCTTCTCAAGTCTCACAGTCACTATTATTGGCCGGACATAAAATTGTAAGCCAAGTGGTTTTTTCTTCTAATTTTCTAGATAAATATGAACTTTTCAATTTTTATTACTGGAGCTATGTGATCGTCCAATTTTACTATTTGGCTAAAAATGGATATGCCCTTTCTTTTACTGATTGATCTCCTTTATTTTATTTGTCAGTGTCTTGAATTACAACAATACTGATGGTAACATCAACATCCTTCCGTTGCTTAAAAGGATAATCCAAAATCACATTCCGGTTTGGGTTTTCAGGTACTATTATTTCTACATTATAAATAAAAAATAAACATTACCCCCTTGTATTTAGCATTATTAATCAACAACATGATGATTCAAATTTCACTTGATTGCAGTGGTGATCAAGATTCTGTCGTACCATTACTTGGCTCACGTACACTTGTTCGTGAACTAGCTCATGATTTGCATTTCAACATCACTGTCCCATACGGAGCTTGGTTTCACAAAGGGCAGGTAGGTACTTGAGGCAGCAATCTTGTTTCTATTCATTTTCAAAAACCACTTTTATTTCTTCAATCTCAGCTCATTCATTTTTGTTTTTTGTTCTGAATAATAGGTGGGAGGTTGGGTGACCGAGTATGGAAATTTATTAACTTTTGTGACAGTAAGGGGTGCAGCTCATATGGTACCCTATGCGCAACCATCAAGATCTTTACATCTCTTCAGTTCGTTTGTCAGAGGCCGAAGATTGCCAAACACAACGCGTCCTTCTATAAATGAATGAAATTGTTTTACACTTTATTGAGTTCCCTTGTGCTAAAAAATTTCAGCAATAATGCAAAAAGGAAAAACAAGAAGAAGAAGAAGAAGCAGAAGAAAAAAGGACTTGAAAGTTGAACATACAGTGCATGACTTCCATACAATTCATTGGATTCATGATTTTGAACCAAAAATTGAAGAGACTAACTCACTTTGGTTGAGTCACTGAATTTGAATAAATGGAATTAGTTCAGAGGGGTTAAATTCAGCTGAATTAATGTACTGATTCAAAATCAATTCACCTAAATGTACCATAGCAGAACACTTAATTTGATCCTTTTTATGCCAAAATACTCACCATGGTAGTTCCTTATTTCAAAATTTTTACTCTCATATCATTCTAAATGAATTTTCTATTTAAAAATTATGTTTATTTAGCATTCTCTAAGTTTTTCAAATCCCTAAACTGCTGTATCATTTTCTCTGATGTGTGGTGGAAATAATTATTCAATAATCTTTGGTACTTTGAATTGAGCTGTTCTGAATGGCCCGAATATCGATAGGCTAGACAACCACCATGATAATCGGGTGAAACACTTGTGTATCGTGGTTGTTACCAATGGTGGAGGCGCAAAGGGTCTAGGGGGTCATGTGCCCCCAGTTTTGGAATAATTTTTTTTTTTTAACATAAGAAAATATTTTAAATAAAAAAATTGTAAAATATTATTTTGAGTGATATGTCAATAACATTTTTAAAATTATGAGAATAATAATAGTTTTTTTTTTTTATTGAAAATAAAGATATTACGATAAGTCATATTATTACCTATGAAAATTTCAATACAATGGTATTATTATTGACATGAAAATATACTTAATTTCAATGAAGATATGAAATTTATTGAATTGTTAGTTATATTTAATATGTGGGGTTCATCCTCTATATGTTTCTTTATAATTGGTTGGTCATATCATATGTCAATGATGATGTGGTATTACTATTATATTGAATTTTTATTAAAATTTTGTATAAAAAATTACTTTATCATTATATAATTTATTTTAAAACTTTTATCTATGACTTTTTTTTTTTTATATTGTTCATAATATATTAGTTACAAATAATATATTTATATATTTATCTTTTTTGAAGGCAATCGTAAAAATTTATGTAAAATATTTTTGTAAAAATTTTTAATGTTGTAATTAATAAATGTCATTTCTGATTTAATTTATTGGCTTTGCCACTGGTTGTTATCTTGTCGGCCGCGGCTGTCAGCCTTTTCGTTGAACGATCGGCCTGATGACCGATCAAACAACCAATAAGATGAAATTCGAGTCATTCGGACAAAACTCAAATTCAAACTACGCAGCATTGTTGATAATTATTATAGGATGAGACTGAGCTTATAAAAGTATTTTTTTTCTCTAATATTGTGCTTCTAAGTTTGCTACCCACTCGAAATGGGTATGGTGTCCCTTTTGGTTGTTTCAGCTACCTTGCTTGTATTATTGATAAAATGGCGTATACTTTTTTGACAATTTAAGAGTTTGGAAAAATGGAAAAAAGTGAAAAAATATTATAAGATTCCCTGCTACTATGCTAACTTGCTCTCATTTTGTCTTGAGAAACTAAGTAAGAATTACATTTAATTTTTTGATGCATCATCCAAACAAGGAAAAGAAGAATTGAAATTAATTTCACTGGGCATAGTCATTCATAGGATTTGAGAACAAAATGACATCAAGTATGATTTTAAGAACAAATTATCCATATTTTTTAAGATAAAAGTAATTTGTTCATATAATTATTGATATTCGATCAATATAATTTTTTTATATGAATAATCTTTTTAACAAGAGTTTATAAAATAAACAATCTCGAAACATAGACTTAAAATGGACCCTTTCGTTTTTATTATCTAAACATAACCTAAAGCTAATTTTAACAAAAGAAATTTGACTAAAAATAGTTATAATTTATATTGGTTATGAAAAATGTTTAGTAGCTTGAATTTGTGTAGCCTGAATGGCTCAAATGTATTAAAACGAAGTCGTTTTGCTTCCAAAACGACGTCATTTTTGTTTTGAAATATTTGAGTCATTCGAGCAATAAAAATTCAAACTACCAAAATTTATTAATTTGTTATATAACGTGCGTTTGCCTTTGCGTTGCTTTTAATTCTCAGTGGGTAGGATTCAAGCTGTAAACTATCTATCAGCCAACAATTTTTTTTATTTTGTATTATAGATTTTGTTCTCTCTCATTTTAATTAAGATTTTCACACTAGAACATGGCATGAATTTTGCATTTATATATCCGTTTGGCAAGGAGGTTTGGGGCTATTTTAGCCATAAAAGACAAAATAGACTATGTTAGCCACAACAAACAAAACATCACATCTAATCCAACCCATAATCATTACAATCTTCTCTTACAAAAAAAGTCAAAAAAATCAAAAAATCAAAAAGCCCTCCCCAAACCAAACTTTTTAGCTCAGGCTAAAATAGCCAAAAAAGCCAAAAAGTCAATCCACTTCCCAAACGGAGGTAATATGGTTCCTATTACACGTTTCTTTTATATCGTATTTGGATCACGAATTTAGGCAAAAATTTAAAAATAAAAGAAAGAAAGTGAGTGAAATATAAATCGTTTGGAAAGTTGGGTTTATAGTCAAAAAGGGTTAAAAAATCATTATAAATTGCCACATCATTTTCTCTACTTTCAATACACCTTTTATTAAAAAGTCAAAAAGTCAATTAAAATAATTAATTTTCAAATGGGACTTAAATTTTATTTATATTTCACCTCCTATCTTTCTTACCTTTTCTTTTTCTTTTTCTTTTTTGAAATTTTTTTTTTATCTAAATTTATGATAATATAACTTTAAAGTATTGATAAGTTGCAGTGAAATATCACAAAAAAGAAAAAATATACATTTTAAAGAACAATTAAGAAAATCCTTAGAATATCATACTGACAGAAAATTGTAAGCAAAAAAAAAAAAAATCTATGATTATAATTTTTTTTAGTAGCAAATAACGATGAAGACGAGCCATATAATGATGTCATGATAAACATTTGAGCAATTATTAACTTGGACGAAATGCTCAATAACTAAAATCTCAGGATGTGAATTGAGAGATTGAGTGAATTTGAAAACTTGATTAATTAGTCTTAATCCTGCCAAAAAGTCAAAACTCACCATCTAAGTAGGTGTGATGTGATGATATGTATTCAAACTCAATTTATAATTTACGCAATGAGTAATGATTGAGACTTCTATTTCATAAAATCTTCACAAATCTGAACTACTTATATTATAGACTCTACACATATATGAAGGGATAGGATCATTTTAAGGGTGTAGGAGTCATCCCCAAAAGGGGTCCCAAACATGTTCCTTTATGCAATCCATTATTATAAGACCTAGAATTAACATATCAACCACCCAAATCCCAAGATGGAATGGTATACATTTTTTGAGGAGTGCGTATGACATAATTAAAGATGTATATATTATGAGGTATGTATGATAAAATTTTTCATGGATTATTTAGAATTAAAGATTTAATAATAATATTTTTTTTTTTTTTTAGTGAAAGGAGGGAGAGAGGGATAGGGCAGTTGACCGAGTGATCCATGTTATTGTGTTTTGAGACAATGAGAATGTTAGATGTTCATGGTTTGAGTTGATGGAACAATTGCGATTAATCTAACACACTAATCCCTAATATCTAATCATATGCCAAAAAAAAAAAAAAAAATTTGAGGTGGAGAGGCCTTTTTATTAGAAAGAGGATGGAGGGAGCTGTTTAGGCCCATGAGGTCCACCATAGACCCCGTTTTAATAATTTAAATTGTTCATTTTGTCTGATAGTTTTTCATCCATACAAAAAATTAGGTCAATCCGATAATTATAACTTATTTAATTTATTGCATTTTTAACCAAAAAAATTTATATTTTTAAAAATAAATCATACATTATTTTAGTGACAAATATAATAAATTGAACAAGTTACAATTATCGGATATACCTAAGTTTTTGTGTGGTTGAAATACACAGAGTACCCGACAAACTGAACGGTTCAAATCATCAAAACGAGGTCCGTGGCGAGCCCCACAAGTCCAAATAACGCCCTTCAATAAAAAAATCTGGACTGAATAGGATCCTCCTCCTTTTTATTATTGTTGAACATTTTTTTCCCAGTTATTTAAACTGTGTTTGGTAAAAATAGATTTTAGCAAAAAAGTTTTTTTTAAAAAAATCATTAAAAAGCTTTAAAAGCCAAAAAAATCTGTGGGGACATATTTTCTGAATACCAACACGTGGCATGGTGACGCCGACGTGTCAGCCGAGGTGCCACGTGCCTTGGTAGTTAAGCCGAGGTAATCTCGGAGAAGCCGAGGTCATCTCCGAAGATGTCGGAATCCGAAGATAAGGGACAAGAGTCCTGAAGCAAAGAGGGGACTTAATTAAGATAAGGATAAACCTCTTAGGGAGTTTATCTCTATCTCCTAAAGAGTCCAGAGTAAGTACTAAGATTGGGGTACATAGAAGTCATATTTCTAGTTGGACTTGGATTAAGTATATTATAAAAGAGAGGCACCCCCGTGGGTCTAAGGTAGGTAATTCATACTTTGAGTATTCAGTTTAATACTTGATTATCCTTGAGAAACATACTGACTTGATCGTCGGAGTGCCTCCGGGTGGAAGAACCACCGCCGGAGCTTTTCCTTTCTGTTACAGGTTGCTGGAGCCATCTATTCTGCCGGTGCTTTGCTACTGATCACTAAACGGGCAGTGTGGTCAGATTTTTACCCACACAAAATCATATAAAAAAAGCTTACATATTTCTTCATTTCCCCCCCCCTACTTTTTGCTTGTTTTTTCTTAAAAAATAAAAAAATTATTTGTAAAAATTTTAATTTTTAGTCAAAAAAATTACTAAAAACACTACTTCCTAAACTAACCTTAGTTGTATGAAATTTGTAGAGTTGAATGCAACAACATTCAATCTCCCATGAATTAGATCAATTTGTTTCCTCTTTTGATAATTTATAAAAATTGATTGAAGACTTCAGAATTTCAAGACTCCGAACTTCAATGGTCAGCTAGATATGGGTGAGTTTTTCCCCTGGCTGGACAAGATGGTTGTTTGGAAACAGGCTTTTTTAAGTAAGTTTTTGATTTTTTTGTTAAAATATGATGTAAAAAAAAATTAGTATGTTTGGGATGACTTTTTGAATTTTTACGAAAAGATGTGTAAAAAGTAGAGAGAAAAATGAATCTTTAACTTTTTGGTATAGATTGTTGACTTTTTGAGTAACTTTTTGACTAAAAAAGTCACTTGCTCAATGATGACTGAATCATAAAATAAACATTTGATATTCAAATGAATTTTTAATTAGTTTAGTATTTTATTTTTTTATTAATTTGAGTTCGATTGATACAGATACATCAAGTCAACTTGGATTTTTAAGAGTGGTGCTATATTTTTCAATACATTACTTTCATTTTGATATCTACATTTTATTTGGATCATGAAGTGATGTGAGAAAAAAAAATATATTATGATTTCTCACAATTATATTTGGATGCATGAAAAAAAAAAAAAAGAGAATGTAATTTATTATCTATTTTGTTTGGATACAATAAATAAGAGAAAAGAATGAAAAGTGTTGTATTTTATTTTACCAAAATAACCTTTCATATTAATAAGTTATATGTTTTTTCATAACGATAATTTTGATATTTTAAAAAACTTTCATAGCTATTTTAGTTGATTTTTTGGCTATTTTATAAGATGAAAAAAAGTTATGTTCAGGATGATTTGTGAGCTTTTTTTGTAATTGAATAGATGGTTGTGAGAGAAAACATGATTGATTGATGTGTAGAATGTGATATTTTGTCATATTAACTATTTTAGTTTTTTTTAATCTTTATTGGCTATTTTAGCTAACAAAGCTATTCCCAAACAGGGCCTAAATTCAATTCATTTCTCACCAAATCTCACCTCTTGTGGTGAGAAACAGAACATGGATTTGGTGAGAATCCTTTTCTAACCACCACTCATCATTTCTCACAATTTTTCACCTACTTAACCATTCAAACAAGCGAAAAAGTTTCCTATTCTCACCATTTATTTTTATTTTTTATTTTCTCACCAAACTCCTCCATCAAAACAGAGCGCTGATGAGATAGAAGGGAGAGAGAATAGAGAGAGATAGAGAGAGGAGGGATGAAGACTATGGATCTCCCTTCAAATGATCCATTCCATTGCATTAGGGGTGGATTGGAGGGGCTCAATTAGAGCTCCCAAACATTTTTTTATTTTTAAACTATGCTTACAAAAGGAAAAATTTTAATATACATCCCTTTAAAAAGAGTGTACCATATGATCTATTTCTTTAGTTATGATTAATTTTCTTCTTTAGTTATGACATTATTTTAATTATGCCTTATGTTTTGCTTAGTTATGACATTTTTTTTTAGTTATAACTCAAAAAATTAAAATTATATTATTTGTTTTTAATTATAAGGTATATACGGTGAACACCTTTTAAAGAGTGTACACTATAGTATTTCCCAAAAAAAAAAAAAAAATACAAATTGAGCAAGTCTTAATCAGGTGATATAATAATGATTAATGTTATACAAAACAAATAATTATAAGTTATGACATTATTTTAATTATGACTCATGAATTCTTTAATTATGCCTTATGTTTTGCTTAGTTATGACATTTTTTTTTAGTTATAACTCAAAAAATTAAAATTTTATTATTTGTTTTTAATTATAAGGTATATACGGTGAACACCTTTTAAAGAGTGTACACTATAGTATTTCCCAAAAAAAAAAAAAATACAAATTGAGCAAGTCTTAATCAGGTGATATAATAATGATTAATGTTATACAAAACAAATAATTATATAACTTTTGTAAAATATAATATGTTTGACATCAAACCATCCATTATAAAACAAAATGTCCATTAAAATAATTTAATTTTAAAAATAGAATAATAACATTAATATTTCATTTTAGGGTTGGGCTACTTGAGAGGTCTGTGGGCCCGCTTATATATCTTGTTCGGTAATACGAACTATTCATTTTGTAGGACCTTTAATAAATATCATTCATTAAAAAAATTAGTTTGATCTGATAATTATAACATTTTCATTTTAATGCATTTGTCTTCGAAAAATTAACGGCAAATATATTTTTAAAAGCAGACAATCCATTTTTTTAGAAAGAAACACAATAAAATGAAAATGTTACAATTATCAGATCGGTATAATTTTTTTTATAAATGATATACATTAAAAATTTTACAAAATGAATGGTTCAAATAATTAAAACGAGACATATAATGGGTCCTCTAGACCCCTCAAATTATCTTATATTAAAATGTTAACATAAATGAAACTCAACCATTCATTTTATACATTAGACGTTGGTTTATTTGTCTTTCTTGTTTGGAAATTCAATAATTTAGCTTAAAAGTCAAAATGTCACTAAAAAAAAATTAAAAAGTCAATAACATATATCAAAAAGTCAAATATTTTTTTCTCTATTTTTTTACATCTTTTCATAAAAAATTAAAAAAATCTCAAACATATTATTTTTTTACCTCATATTTTAGCCAAAAAATTAAAAAATTATTAAAATTGTCTGCAAAAAATTAAAAAATTATTAAAATTGTCTGCTCCCAAACGAGACCTAATCTCCCATTAAGAAAATGTGTTAATCTACAAAAACAACATCGATAAATAGTATGTGCACTTCATTCTCTATCATGTATAATTTTTGTGTAAGAAATGAGCAAAATCAATAGTACAATAAAGAATTCTATAAAACAAATAAAAATCCATAATATAAATAAATAAATCTTAAATGAGAAAATAGTAATCAAATTTTGTTTGTTGAGAGACCCTATCAGCTGATGGCTACCCCATTTCTTCCACTTGTTGACTTTCTCCAGAACTATCCACTCAAACCCAGATGCATGCCCAGTCACTTTCATATCGGCACCATCTGATTATAACTCCATCTTTCTCTTCCCTTCTAAAAAATATATATCGCCGACAAAACAATGTTGTTCTCTAACAGCCTCACCAAGTTACCATTTTGGTTGTGAGATCTCACTCAGAGACCACCTGAGCTTGAAATTACCAAATTACCCTCCCCTTTCTACTCTATTTCTCTCTGCCCGTCCAAATCCCTTCCTCACCCACAGAGCTATCTCCCCATGATCTAGGGCTTCCTTCTCTTCAATACCCACTTCACAGAACTGTAAGATTGTCCATCTTCTTACTTCAAAACTCAATCTTTTGTGGTTTTTTTTAACTCTCTCTGCTCTGTTTCTGATCTTGAATCCAAATATTTATACGGGTTAGTTTTGGTGGTCTTTTGGATTTCATGTTGTACTGGGTTAACTTCATTTTAATGGTTCTTGGTTGTTGATATATATATATATATATATATCTGAGATATGGTGAGTAGATTAAATCAGAGTTTACTTGGCTACTTTAAGCCTTGCTATAAAAGGGGTTGGAATTTAGGCCACCCAATTGTTGGAAGCCATTGCAAGAACTGGGTTTTTCATTCATTCAATGGACTCATTGTGATTGGTTCATTTTTGTGCTTCATGTTAGCTATGGCTTATTGGCATATGTATGTGTTCCCGGGTCCTCCTGCAGCTATCCCCATTTATGATGTTCCTGAGCGCGCTGATTCAAAGAGTGAATGTAACTTTTTTGTTGGAAAATGGATTCGTGATGAGAATTACCCTTTGTACAATGCATCAGAATGTCCGTTTGCTGAAAGGGGTTTTAATTGTTTAGCTAATGGACGAAAAGATAATGGGTATCTTAAATGGCGGTGGAAGCCCGAGAATTGTGATATTCCGAGGTTTAATGTACATGATGTTTTGGAAAAGCTTCGTGGGAAACGGGTTGTATTTGTTGGTGATTCGTTGAGTAGAACTCAATGGGAGTCTATGATATGTTTGCTCATGACTGGTGTGGAGGATAAGAAGAGTGTATATGAAGTCAATGGGAATAAGATCAGCAAGCAGATTAGGCATTTAAGCATTCGGTTTACTTCGTTCAGTTTTACTGTTGAGTTTTACCGATCAGTTTTCTTGGTGCAGCCTGGCTCCGTGCCAAAACGTGCACCAAAGAGGGTTAAAGCAACGCTTAAACTTGATATGTTGGATGATATCAGCAAAGAATGGATTGATTCTGATATTCTGATCTTTAATTCAGGGCATTGGTGGAATCCAGGGAAGCTCTTTCAAATGTAAGTTATCTAGTTTTTTTTTTTTTTTTTTCCACTGTAGATGTGGGGGATTTTGCTCAAAACTGTATCTTGGGTATTAAGAGTTGGATATCAGTTTTAATTAGTTGTTATACTTTCACTTTATGCTTGCTTTTTTTCGAGTTGATGTGCCTCTTGATCCTAAATAATGTGATATGATCTTTATGTTAACACTCATTCCACTTGCACAAATTTCATTCTGTGCTTCATTTAATAAATGTTGACAGAATATAAGTAACACAAACCTTCCAATTCATTGGCTAGAAGTGTAGTCCTCCAATGCTTAGTACCAAAGGAAATTAGTGTAACGTAGGCCATTGTCATTGTTCTTGTAGCCATAGATGCCACAGTGATCCAATTATGACTACTAGTACAACCAGAATATAATCAAGGACTGAAATTTTAAAGAACAAGCATTGCCTGCTGCAATGTATTTTCGACAGGTTTCAAAACTGTAAAACGGTTGGCTTTTGCTTTTACAAACTGTGAAAGTGTTTTATACATTTGATTCTTCAGAATGCATCTAATATGTTTGTTCAGACAGGGGCTGGTATTTTCAGGTGGGTGGAAAGATGAAGCTTGGAATTTCAACAACTGGTGCTTTCAAAACAGCATTAGCCACTTGGGCATCTTGGATCGAGAATATGGTCAACACAAATAAGACACAAGTATTCTTTCGGACTTTTGAGTCCTCTCATTGGAGGTGTGTTTAGTAGTTGCTGAATTTTGCTTCCAAACCATATTGGTAAACGCATGGAGTTGTCCAACGCTGAAGGCATATATTTATGTCAAAGTTCTCAATTGAATATTGTCCAATGGATCTATTACAGTGAAATGCGTTTCAATTAAACTATGCTTTTGGCTGCTTTTGTGGATGTCTTGACACAACCACGAATATAAATGTCACTCTTTTCCCTGAATTGACTGTTCTCTCATTTTAGAGCTGTGGTCTATATCATTTGTATGTGCACAACAACTAGTCCTTTTTGTTTGCAAAAAACCTCCTGTAGATCTAGCCATTTTCTTTTCCTCCAGTTGTGTCCTTGATTTTATGACCTTGTTATGCTTCCTTGTCAATATTTATGTTTGTACCACATTACATACAAATAACCATATATGATGATTTTTTGACATTGATGCTTCTATCTGTAGCAGCAGTCGAACCCGACAGAAGTGCAAAGTGACTCGACAACCTTTGTCAAAAATCAAAGGCAAGGAACAAAGCCCATTTTCAGACATTATACAGAATGTAGTGAAGAATTTGTCAGTTCCGGTGACAGTACTGCATGTTACTCCAATGGGTGCATTCCGAAGTGATGCACATGTGGGTACATGGAGTGACAATCCATCAGTCCCTGATTGCAGCCATTGGTGCTTGCCTGGTGTACCTGACATGTGGAATGAAATTCTTTTCTCATATCTGTTTTCAAAGGAGAAGATTTCCCTTCAATGAATATGGTAACTTGTAAGTAAAATTTTTCTCTTTCTATATTATTTATGATCTCTATGCTTTCTTATTTCTTGCTAGCTTCCATGTACTCTGTGATTGAGTTAGTCTGTGACTTGAGGGATAACTGTTCTAATTTGAATTTTCTTTCCCTGCTGAGGGTTGGGTTATTTCGTGAGATGTAAACTTTGATTATGGAAATTGCTCTTGTTTTTCCCTTTAGTAGTTGCTTACAATTTTGTGGGTTTTAGCTGCCTTGTTCCACCAGTTGGTTTCCATCTGTTTCTTTGTTGAAATTATGTAATCAAATGAGAAATTTCATTAGCTGAAGCATTACTTTCTAAGTTTTTGTAAACTTTTCAATCATTGATAAAGGTTGATTAGTTAGTTTATTGAGTCTCTACTTAATTAATTATTAATTAATAACCAGTCTAATGCTCTTGAAAATTTTTGAGAGTATAGGAAAGAAGTAGAGACTCAGCCAAGTTGGCCCATTAAAGACTTGAATAATGATAGAGGCAGTGACTATCAAACTACATAAGACATTTATATAATGCCGTAGTCTTGAGAACAAAAATGGGATTGCTGAAAGACGCAATATGATTCTGTTAGGTATGACTATCAATGATGAATTGTGATGATTTATCTCTTTATTATTTATTGGGAAAGAAATTATTGACTTTGGGCTTGTGGCATACTTATTATACAGAGTCAACACTAAGGCTAAACCACTTGGGCCATAGGAGTATTGAATTTGATCTAATCTTGACATTTCAAACTTAGAAGTTTCGGGTTCTGAGGCATATGCTAATCCCAAAGTTGCAAAGAGATAAGTTAGGTGCATGGAATAGGACATGTGGAAATTGGAGTGATCACAAGTTAGGTAAGGAATAGGACATGTGGAAATTGGAGTGATCACAAGTTAGGTGCAGGGAATAGGACATGTGGAAATTGGAGTGATCACAAGTTCTACCACCTTGAAAATGGATAGATTGAAAGTAGAGAGGCTATTTTCTTGGAGAGCATTAGTTTGGTTACTCCTATTGATGATGATGAGCATGGAAAAGGAAAAAGGGCAAAGCTAGAGCTTCACCATGAAAACATATAGGACTTTAGGTAATCATGTTTAGGGTTGGTCTAAGTCATATTTTTATGTAGTTTATAGATTAGAATACTGCTAGACCGATTTCTAACTTATTATTCAGTTTTAGTAATGGCGTAAGGGTTGGTCATGGTATTTAAATGAAACAAAAATGCCTACAGTATGCTTGATCATCAGGACAACAAACATGGAAGGTCAAGGCTAGATGAATGATGGTATTAACAGCATGCTTGTTTTGAGGGATAAGGGTGTGAGATTGGACTATTAGTTCCACCGGACTAATAGTCCATTGTTTGTTTGAAAATTTTTTACTATTAGTCCCACAAATATGGGACTATCCTATCCCATGGGGGGAGGTGGAATAGAAACCATGGGATTGGTATCCCATGGAATTATTTTGTGAAATGTTCATTTTACCTTCCATGCTATTACGTAGTAAATAATTAGAAAATGATAAAATAGTCTTTTGAACATTTATAAATTATTTTTAGTGTTGTTAATTTAAAATTATATATTAAATAAAAAATTATAAATTATAAACTATAAATTAAATTTAATTAAAAATAATAAATTATAAATTATGGCCTTATAGATTAAATTTTTTTAGTGTTGTTAAAAAATTAAATTTACATATTAAATAAAATTATTTTTTTAGTGTTGTTAATTTAAAATTATATATTAAATAAAAAATTATAAATTATAAACTATAAATTAAATTTAATTAAAAATAATAAATTATAAATTATGGCCTTATAGATTAAATTTTTTTAGTGTTGTTAAAGTCGTTAATTTAAAATTATATATTAAATAAAAAATATAAATTATAAATTTAATTTAATTGAAAATAATAAATTAAAAATTGTGGCCTTATAAATTAAATTTTTTTAGTGTTGTTAAATTATAAATTATAGATTACAAATTTAAAATTATATATTAAATAAAAATTATAAATTATAAGGATAAAATAGTCTTTTGAATATTTATCATTTTCCATAATATCCCAAACAAACATGGGATTCAATAGAATAGCCCAATCCAGACCTCTAATCCCATGACTAAACAAATATAGGATACAAATTTAATCCAACCAAATAGTCCCGGGACAATGTATCCCAAGACTAATAGTCCGATGGATTACAATCCCCCCTTATCCAGTCCGTCCAAACAAACGCACCCAATGTGTGCGTGGAGGTCCTTCGATAGTTGCTGACAACATTGCAAGTTTGATCTTCCTTATTTCCATAAGTTGGCCTCCATATATTTCTTTGTTGAAATTATGTATTCAATATGCACAAATGAATTCCATTAACTGAACCATTTTACAATCGTAATTAACCATATAAATACTTTTATAAGAATAACAAGATATTTCTAGCAAAGTTCTCCCCTCATAATATGAATAAGATAAAAAACTAAAAACAAAATTATGTAGTTAGGTTGGTTAAAAAATGATTGATGGTAGGGACCAAAGAAACAAGCACATTTGCAGATGCATCATTCGTCAATCAAATATACGTATCCTGTGGTTTAGTAATAAAACCCTCCTAAAAATTTTGCTAGGGAAACTTCAAGAATTGTTTTCCAATGCAATCAATGAAAACAACAGTCCATATCTTAGCATGAGCGTCAAGTCTCAGGAAACTTGAAAGCATTGTAATAGATAAAATAATCAGAGCCTCACTACAAATAAGCACCCAGAAGTACTGCTTTCTCCACATCAATCCAATCTTGAAACACCTGAATTTTCACAACATTTAAATGGCATCTCCTCTAAATAACTTTGACTTCCCATATTTTCCTTCCCCGCCACCTCCTTCAGCGACACCCCCGAGTCACTCAATTCCACCACCACCACCTCACACCTTTTCTCCACCACCTCCTCATATCATTCCTCCACCACCTCCACCTCACACATTTACTCCACCACCTCCTCATATCATTCCGCCACCACCTCCTTATGTCATTCCTCCACCACCTCCATCATCACCGGGCAATCACTCTACTGTTATAGTTGTTGTTTTTGTCTCGTTTGGTGGTCTGTTTTTCCTTGCTTTCCTTGCGATTGCACTCTGTTGCTTCATCAAGAAGAAGAAGAAGAAGAAGATGGTACAAGAAACTGATATTGTACATGTTGATGAACACTTAAAGGTGAGGGAGGAGATTGTGCAAGGCCCACATGGATCGCAAGCTGTGGTGCTATCAATTGAGGATGATGTGCATATTGATGAAGAGATTCGGAAGAATGAGAAGTTTGGTGAAGGTGGTATGCATGTTAAATCTGCACACAACATTTCTAGTGCCCTTGAGGAAGGAACATCCTTTTCTGGTTCAAGTCACCACCATCTAGAGCACAAGCATTGATTATGGATTAATTTCTTTCAAGTTTGTCCTCACGCTAATTCAGAATAATACATGAAAATAACTCAATATACTGTGTAATAAAATGAATGTATTATTGTTTTGGGTTGTCATAATAAACTTCCAACCATTGTACCTTTCGGAATCCATAATTGCTTTTACAATCTAAGCCTAATTCCCAGGATGAGATGCAACTATATTGCTGTGTTATAATTTCTTACCTTCTATTTGCTTTGCTGTGATCTTTAACCTGCCAATGAGCTTGATAAATCTCAGTTGGTTTTTCTGGTCATTTGAACCACTTTTTGACTAATTTACTTAGAAAGTAGTCACTTGTAGCATTTCTGCTCAGTGGGTTGTTGCTGATGCCTGAAATTTCGCTGGTTTTTTAGACCATACTGCTTATGCAGCTTTGCTGTAATTGACACATTTGATCCTATATGCAAAATTCGTATACGACTATGTCTCAGCCGCTTATGCAGCTGAATGTTTTTCTATTTTTCAGGTTATTCGAAGCATTTTGTTACCAGAATTCACGTAGAAATGCTTTCACTCGATGCAATCTGCTCAGCAGGTTGTTTACGCCTTGAATTTGACCAGTTGGTTGGATCATACCCGATTTAATCAGCTTTGCTGTGCTTGATAATAATACTCATTGATCCTACATCAGTCGGCGATTCGTTTGCAACAATGATACTGTGTTTTTTAAGCTCATTTATAATTCTTTATTTGTGAAGTCTTCTTATTTTAGCACTCTTGTTAATGAAAAGCATTCATATGTAGTGTATAGAAGAAGCCTCTAGATGCAGCAATGACACTTTGGTGTAAAGGGAAAAGGACATAACATGTTGGGCTTTTTCTCTTTGTGGCAAAGATTTGATGACAATTGGTATTTGCCAAATTGAAACGACCCGTATGTTTGTAGACTTTGAATAAGCAAATGTCCAAGTCTTCTTATTTTAGCACTCTTGTTAATGAAAAGCCTTCATATATGCAGCAATGACACTTTGGTGTGAAGGGAAAAGGACATAACTTAACATGTGGGGCTTTTTCTCTTTGTGGCAAAGATTTAATGACAGTTGGTATTTGCCAAAGTGAAACGACCCATATGGTTGTAGACTTTGAATAAACAAATGTCCCCAATTCAGGTACTTCTGTTCTGGTGTGTTCAATTCCAAATTGCGTCTAAGGCAGAACCTTTGTGAATTGCTATGGTTAGATCTTAAATTTGTCACTCTCTTCCTGTTTTTAGATTATTTGTTAATTTTTTTTTTTTTGGCGAATTACACTATTAGTCTCTATAGTTTGGAATTTGTATCACTTCGGTCCTTGATTTTTTTAATTGTAATACATTAGACCCTAAATTTTGAATCTTGTTCCAAATAAAGACAATTGAAGATGCCATTATTTAATTTCAAAGGCAAAATTGTCAACTTGATAAAATATATACTAATTTGACAAAAATATATGTTAAAAAAATATTTTTGAATTTTTAAAATTATTTTTACTCACAAAATATAAAATTATGTAACATTTATAAATTTTTTACACATTTATTTATTTATTTATTAAATTAATTTTTATTATGTATATGGATGATGATTATGGAATGGGTGGTATTTTTATTTTTATTAAAGTCAAATATGGTGATAACTTTAATATCATTATTAAACCAATCTATTAAATTAAAAAAATCTAAAATTAAAAATATTTCATATATTAAATATATCAATTACACATTAAAAGTCTAACAACCATCCATTACATGATCATCATTCAATTACATAATAAAAATTAACTTGGTAAAATAAATAGATAAATAAATGTGTAAAAGATTTATTAATTTTACATAATTTTATCTTTGGTGAGTAGAAATAATTTTTAAAAATTTAAAATTATTTTTTTTGACATTTATTTTTCTTAAATTAGTTTATATTTGATCAAATTGAGGATTTTTCCCTTGAAATTGAGTAATGATATCTTCAATCATCCTTATTTGAAACAATATTCAAAATTCAGAATCAAATGTGTTACAATTGAAAAATTAAGAATTAAAGTGACATAAATCCCAAACTATAAGGACCGTTGGTATAATTTGTCATTTTTTTCTTTTTTTTCTTTTTTGGGCTGAGCTTGGTTAGGATAAAAGTGGTGAAAAGTGAAACAAAGAGAAAAAATAACTTTTTCTAAGCTTGTTCAACATGAAATTGGTGAAAATTACAAGAAAGTAGATTTTCCTAAACAACTCATACTAGCATAGTGACTAAGTTTTTAGTCTCTTTTAAAAAACACAAATGTTCTGTTTTGATTAGAAAGAAAATTTGATAGAAAATAAATAGTAAAAGAAAACGAAATGAAAAAATATTAGATTTTCTTGTAAGCATTTGATTAAGACAAAAATTTTGTAAGAAAACAAATAGAAAAATTTGAAATTTTAGTTATAGGGAACTTATTTAATTTTTCTTGTATTTTTTTGAAAGAAATTTAAAATTAGTTACAATGTTAATGTGTGCTATAAAAAAAAAAAAATACTTTTCTTCTATTTTTTACCACTTTCAAGATAAATAAACCCATAAAAGTTAAAATAAAAAATAATAATTCTTCTCTTTCTCTTATTTTTTACTTTTATCATCCTAAACAAAATGAAGCAAAAAAAAAAAAAGAAAAAAAAAAGAAAGAAACACAAGAAAGTTTAAATTTGTTAATAAAAGTGGTTATTATGATTAAAATTTTAAATTTCATCTATCTCCTTTCAAAATTTTCATCCTAATCAAATGCATGTGAGAAAATCTTTTCTTTTCTTTTTTTTTTTCATTTCTTTTTTTCCCCCTTCAATTTCCACTATTTTTACTTTTCAACCATTTATTTCTCTATATTGAAATAGATTCGTAGTTCATTTGAGCTATTTCCATCTTATAATCATCTTATAAGTTGTAAGCTAAAGTTGTATCAAATCCTCAGTAATACTTTCAAAATAAAAAATTTATAAGTAGCTTTAGAGCATTTTTATAGCATAAAACTATGGAAACACATTTAATCAAATTCAATTTTTGACTAGTTATTTTAATTGAACGTAAAAGCACTAGCTACATGTAACTAGGGATAGAAGACTCAACAAATGATTTTAGGTAATAAAATATTTAATATATTATATTTTATCTATAATTTCATCAATTATTACTATATTAATTATAAGCATGAGTGGTGCAATCATTAAACTAATACAATTGTAATACTTGAGATAAAAAAAATACAATTTGATAAATTAAGAAAAATTATTTATAAACAAAATTTGTATAAAAAAAAACTAAATTAGAATGATATAATTGTGTTATTTTTGAAAATATAAGTTAGAATAATAGGTATTTTAAATTGAGATTAACGGAAAGTGACACATCATTTTGTATCTAAATTCAATATAATTTCTTTTTAGGATAAATTATAGCAACTTCCTTGACGTTTGGATACAACAAATCATACGTTTTGAGATAATTAAATCAAAATTTTTATTAGTAAGCCTAAAGGGATCGGAACGAATATAGCTAGTGTTCAGACTAAAAAAATAAATAAAATAAAAATATATTTTAATGTAAAAAAGATGATAACAATCACTTTTTTATCCATAAGACTAACATATTATGAAGAAAAATGGGTGAAATGTTACGTAAATTAAACCTTGAAAGAGTAATATAATTATGTAAACTTGTGAAATTTATATATTTTCTTCAAATTTCAAGAGATGTGAATGTAATTTATCCAATATTTTATTTAAGGCAAATTACACTAACAATCCCTATTATTTGGAACTCGTGTCACTTTGGTCTTTGACTTTTCAATTGCGACACATTTGACCCTAAATTTTGAATATTATTCCAAATAAGGACAATTGAAGATATCATTGTTTAATTTCAAGGGTAAAATTTTTAATTTGAGAAAATATGAACTAATTTGACAAAAATAAATATAAAAATAATATTTTTAAAATTTTAAAAATTATTTCTACCAACCAAAGATAAAATTATGTAAAATTGATAAGTCAATCCCAAGTGTGTAACTTAGTGTGTGTTCATTCTGCAACTGTGTAAGGTTGGCACCTGAGGACGCAGACTAGCCTATCTGTAGCCCAGTAATCTGTGAGTAACAATGTTGTAAAGATACGTTCAATTATAACTATTTCTGAACGATTGATTATACTACTTTCTGAAATGGCATCGTTTACTGAATGAATGTTTGTCTTATTTATAAACTGTATTCGTGGCATCATAGCAACTTATTGTTACTGTTACTGCTACTGTTACAGAGATCTCTGTCGGTTCCAATGTTGGAACCACTACTGTTTACTGTTTGATGGCTATCAACTGACTGTTCGGTCTGTGAAGACCTAGTGTACTGTTTTGCTATTGGATGTACCACATATGACTATTATGGTTTCTGAATAACTGTTATGGCATGAAATATGAGCCACTGATTGAGTAACTATTTTACTGATACAATTGGCTGTTTTAATTACTGAAAGGACATTCATTCTTAACCCCTTTGCGCATATGTTATTCACTGGGCTTTAGCTTACTATTTATATTTATATGTAAGTGTCCAGACACCGGGCTCAAGCTAGGAGCGTCAAGTTAAGCTCCCGTTTTGTCAAGCCAACCTTTGTGCCTCACTTTGAGGTTCCATGTCTGTTCAAGCTAGGGCTGCTCTGGGGTGTCTCAGTTCCACCCTTCTGTCTCTGTTTTGTAATAAGTGTTTAAGACTTGACTGTACAGTTTTGTTGAAGGGACTTGGTCCCTAACCCGGATGTTGTGTATGTGACGTATGTATATATGTTGGTTTATCGATGTGGCTTGTGCATAAAGTCTTTTTGCATTCAGGTTTTCACAGCTCATTGGACATATTTTATTTCTTGTTTTGGTTTCCGCCAGCCCCTTACTCTGTATTACTGTCCTTACTGTTAAGCAGGCCTTTGGTAATCACGTATTACTGCCTGGTTACGATGCTAAACCCATAGGGGCGGGTTTGGGTCGTGACAAATTGATACAACCCTTTTTTATAAAAATCAAAAAGGAAGATATGCTAATTGTTCCTATTTATGTTGATGATATCATTTTTGGTGCTACTAATGAAAATTTGTGCAAAGAGTTTGCTAAAGATATGCAGGAGCTACAGGATGTCCTAGAAAAGTAATTAGGGCATTGCATGAGCATGAGAAAGTGTGTGTGGACATGGTATGAATATATGTGCTAATGTGTTTAAGTCAGGAACTTCCTATGTTTATTATTACCATATTGCCTATAGTTGTAATAACCCTCACCACTGATCACTGATAACACTACTGATTACGGTTAAACTGAGGCTAAATATGTTAATTGACTGACTAACTGAAAACTGAAGCCAAATTGATTGAGTATATTAGTTTAAATGCATATCTATCTGTTGACTGTTAAACTTATCTGTCCATGTTTTATGTTTTAAATTGCGAATTGAAGACCTTATCGGCGGCCGAATCAGAAATCGAGTGATATTTTATGATCATTAGAATTTATATGATTTTATGGCATAATTATCTAAAATGTGATTTGGTGCGATTAAATTAGAATGAATAATGTTGAATTGCAAAGTTGGCCTTATTCACAATTTTGCCACTTAAGTGGCCCACTATCTAAACATTTTTTAGCTCACTACATTAGACACAACACATTTTCTTCAGCCCATTTTGTAAACTACAGCCGACTAGAGTGAGAGAAATAGGAGAAGTCTTGAGTTCATGAGTTTTAGTTTGGTAACTTGAAGATTTGGAAGAGAGATTTCATAATTGAGCCTCCTTACCTCTAATTCAAGACCTAAGGTAGTGTAATTATCCTCTTGTTTATGAATTGAGCTTGTTCTTGCATGATTCATGTCAAAATTAGTGGATTGAGTCTAGAATTAGCTTAATTTGTTGAATTGAAGCTCATTTCATGCA